CACGCCGTTGAATGACTTAAGAAGTGTCACAGTCATTGAAAGAATCAAGGCTATTTTTGCCAGACACGGAATACCATTAATATTGTATACAGATGGAGCATTGTGTTTCGATTCAGAACTTTTTAAACAATTTGCTAAAGAGTGGGGCTTTGCCCATGTTATGTCCAGTCCACATTATCCAAAATCCAATGGGCTAGCAGAAAGCGCTGTGAAATCGATGAAAAGAATGTTTAAAAAGGCATTCGATGCTGGAGAGGATCCATATCTGGCTCTGCTTAATTTTAGAAATACACCACGAGATAACATCCATTCTCCCGCCTCGCTACTAATGGGCAGAAACTTGAGAATTAATATTCCGTGTTCATTTAAATTGCTGACTCCCCGAATAACATATAATAAGGACAGGGTATTACTTGAAAATAAAAAGATCAACATTAAACGATACTATGATCAAACGGCTAGGAAAGAAAATAAATTTAAAGTCGGGGAGCCAATTTCATTTCAACAGAGACCAAAAGCAACATGGACTCCAGGAACTATTCAAGCAATTGGATCCATTCCAAGATCGTATGTTGTTAAAGGAAGAAACGATGGAGTTTATACTAGAAATAACATCTTTGTAACATCAAGACCGAGCTCACCGGACACAGCTCAAATTGATAGATCAAATCTTGAGAATAATGAAGGAAATGGCAATACAGTAGTTACCAATCCACTAAGTGAAGAAAAAGGAATGTCATTCAGTAGAAATGACAGAACTAATTCACCTTATACTACTAGAGTGGGAAGGGTAGTGAACAAACCAAAGAAATTTGATGATTATATATAAATTAGCTATTAAGAGGTTTATATAAGATAGTACAAATTAAAGTGCGAATAGTCATTTTGGTTAGATCAAAACAGAAATGCGTAGACATTAGTTGATATAAGTAGAGTGTAAGGATTAGAAGAGTAAGAATGAATGTTTAATTTGTTAAGCGGCATGAACTTCATTCTTCGAGTCAATTGAGTTTAAATAAAGAAGGTAACGCCTGAAAGGGAGAGATGTTGTGAGTTAGAGTTAAGTAATGTATCGAGCGTGAGCGACATCTAACAGTATGCGGTGAGACCACGAAATAACAATAATAAGAATAACGAGTGTGTGTATTAGAAAAAGGGCTAGACGAGAGCAGTCTGTATTAATCAGTTACTCAATAAAACCAGTACGCAGTTCTTAATTAAACATTCCACTTCATCATTAAGCCTACCACAAAACAATATTATTACAAATATTTATTTTTTTGTTTATTATAAATATTGTATAAAATATTTAGTCTATATTTTAATAATATTTTAAATAAAGATTTTGATACTTTTTTCTTTATCTACATAAATATTTCTAAAATATTTATATAATATTTTTAAAAAATAATTCGAAATAAATATTTATGAATCTTTATCATAAATATTGTGTGCTGTTTGGGATTAGATGCTGCCAGC